GGAATGCGAGTTTTGGATCTTGGGTATAGGGCAGTGGTTGGAGTCCAGGTTTTCAGTTTCAGGTGTGGAGTTGTGGGATTTGGAGATTTAAGAGTTTGATGTTAAGTGTGACGGCATGTTTGTAGGAGTTTGCGCTTGAAAGGCTTTCTCCATCGCTCACGGATTGCGGCGGACAAGTGAAAATCTGATTCCAAGGGGTGCCACAACATGGCCATCCTGATCCTGAGGATTTGCCCAAAATATGGGAACAGGGCTAACCGGGGTCGCTACATGTCCATCATAGGCCAAGGCTCCCAATTGAATGGGGCGACCTTCGGTTTGGGGTCCTATCGGCCTGCAACAAGCTGAGACCCTGGGCCGGCCAACAAGCTCACCTGCAACCAACCATGCCCGCCCAAAGGTGCAATCAGCCACTCTGTGGCGGTGCCAGGCCCTGAGAGTCTAACGCGGACAAGACTCCAAGAAGCCGATTGGACCATGGCTCCCTTATTGGGAATCATTGTACTGGTTACAAAAGATTCTTACCAGGTGGATGACCAACCCAGTTGCCCTGTTTTGTGCGTGTCTCTTTGCTTTGATTTAGTGTCTGGGTCCCTGGTGTGCTCCCATGCCAATGACAGTCAAACTCAGTAGTGGTTGCTGATCAGTCAATCAAACAAAAATATATTCGGTCAGCTTGCAACATTGAGGGTGCCCAGTCACCTTCTCTACAACTGCTTCGGGTCTTTTTTGATAGACTGTGCTTTGCGCCCAGAAAAGCCCGCAGGTTCGCAATGCGGCCGTGTCTCAGGATTGGCCTGCAGACCGTGTCCCATTCCCGCATTGGCAGTCTCTGCCATGAAAATATGCCAACATAGTCACAGCTCACGCCAACAGCAGCTTATCCCATAACCTTCAAAATCCAAAGAGCCCTTGCAAGTCCCCTCCCCCTTTTTTCCAGGTGCCTAGGCCATCCGCCTGTGCAGGCTCTGTCCTGCGGAGACCGAGACTCGGGCAATTCTTGGGCTGTCGCCCCGGTTTTTGTGGTGAGTCCCCCTCCCGCAACTAACAATTGTCGAGAGGGTATCACGTTGGAAACCTTCTTGAGGAGTGCCAAAATGTAATATATATATATATGTATTTACATATCTACAACATTGCTAGGACTAGATCTTTAAGGACAAACAGCTAGTGTTGCTTCTTGCACAGGGCTAAGATCATGCCTCTTGAGCACCTGCAAGGATGCAAAGGCAACTCCTCTAGGTAGTTCACATATTCATGAACAATGCTAGGATTTGGAGTGATGTCCTTCACATGTGCAAGGAATATACCATAAGAACAAAGATAGCGCCAGCAATTGCTAGGAGGCAATTATGCTGGTAAAAGCTAGGATCTAGCCAAAATTCCAGCGTGTAAGACCATGTCTCAACAAAAGACTAGAGGTTGGACGGAATGAATTGCTCCAAAAATGCCAGAAGAGTCCAAGAGTATTCCTTATGAGATACTGCCAGTAGTGGGAGAGCTCCCGCAAAAACATGCTAAGGATGTAGATGCCAAGTGCAGAATCAGCTCGTGCAAAATGATAAGACTACCTTGAAAGCAAAAGACCCTGAGAGAAATCGCCCAACTTTATTAGAACTGCAAGACGCACGTTTTTTCCACATCTGAGCCAAAGCAGGGCGAACGTGATCAAATGTCATTCCATGCAAGGCTTTCTTCTGCTGCTCTGACAACTCATACTGTAAGTACCAGCAAAACCAAACAGAAATATTCCGAGGAATTTGGAGCACCTTGAGAAAAAATCTTAGGGCTTAGAGAAAGAATCGGTGCCAAATGTTAAGAATCTACTTTGAGAGCACAAAGCGAGCTTGGAGAAACCTCTCAAAAGCCTTTTAGGACCACTCAAAGTACCAGGGTATTCCGAAAACTGGACGAGGCAAAAAGAAACAGTTTCAGACAAGTGTCACTGGATGTCCCCCTAAAGGGTTGCACTTTACGTGTGCTCTTCAAAGAAGAAGCTAGGTCCTAAACAGGGAATTTGAGGGGCCCCTGTCAACCCCTGCACACTTTGAGGCGCCCAAGGCACCAAGCTTGCTGGCGCACTTTCCCAGTCAATGTTGGTCGCTTGGTTTCCAAAAATGAAGCAGGGGGCAGCAACAGTGTAAATTATTGAAGCCGCGCAACATGGTCGAAATTTGTCGGGTGCACCAGCATATGAACCTATGTGTATGTGCCTTTGTATATATATATATATGACAAACGACAACTTCAAGTCGTGCGTCCTCTCCAAGAGGCTCGCAATCGAGACACCTCAGCACAGCAATCCGTCTCGTGATGTCCGGCCAACCTACCAGGCGGTACGGACAAGATGTGCAGCACATATCTTCCCTTCGGACTGTGAGATCACTGCTCGGGTTCTTCCATCCGAGGCTTGGGTGGTTGTTGCAAGCAAGCAACCAGCCTCAAAGGTAGCGAAAGCTTTGGTCACACCCCGGGCCCCCTCCAGCAACGCATATGAATCTGAAATACTCCTATGCAAAACCCGAGATGCTGCCCGTGGCCTGCATGCCTGCGCGCCCCCCTCCCACCCCCAATCCCCCCAGCGCGCTCTGGGCCCTGGGCTATGAGGTAACTCTGAGGAGCCTGACTGGCGTCCTGGCTGGAGCTTCTGTGTTGAGCCCGCCAACAGTCAGCGCAACCCATCGAAGGTTGGCTTTAAAAATGGCGCATCATGAGCAACCTCGTGGACAAACAAATTGCAAACGTGCGAGTAGCTGCATTTTAAACCGCAGTGCCCATAAATATGCATGATCTTGCAACTATGAAGTGTCAGATAAATCATGACACCAAAGTCTACAAAGCACAGGGCTGATTTCCTCTCCTTAAAGAAGCTGGAGACGCAAAGACCGTGGTGCCTTTCTTTTGCATTCCAAAGCCCCATGGACTCTCCCCCCACCTGCCGAGCCACCTAGATGCCGCGAGTTTGACCTCGGGAGCAGCACACGAGCTTGTCCCAAAACCGGAAATGCCACGCAATCGGCTGGCTGTACTGGTACAGCCACCGCTCCCTCCTCGGGCCAAAAGCAGTGATCTGCCACAAGGCCCTTTGCAAAATACATTCTGAGGCGTGCGGAATTCTGATCCGAGTTCCAGTTGCTTGCTCAGGTTCGAAATATCAATCGGTGTTTCTTCTGCCAAACCCTTAAACCATGAACCCAAAGGTCCTATCCTCTTCTCTTAGTATCTACACCTCCAGGAAAGGGCGGAGAGTGGCCAAACCCGTCTTCATCTGATAGAAACTACTTGGCCATGGGTCAAAATCCCGTACCCCCAGTGAAAATCCCAATCCCAACTAAAATAGACAAAAATGGGCGATACCCCAAAATGGTACCATTGGTTTTGACCCACAGCCACTTGGCTTTCTGGATGGGTTTGGGGATGAGAGAAGACCGCCTGGACAAGAAACCGTGAGAACCAGAGAGAAGAGAGGCCTCATCCTCTCACCCAATCCTTTCGCCAAGACATACATATCAGTCCTTACAGTAGTAGAATTGTATTCGTCAGCAAATTGGATCATATCTTTAAGAAAATGAGAACTTCTATAATACAAGCATTAAATTATATTATTACATTGCATGGCTTTCTCATAGTCTTCGTTTTAGTAATGCCTGGCTTGATTGGAGGGTTTTGAAATTGTTTCGTACCTATCTTTCAATGACCTGCAAAAGTGGTGCAACTCCTTTCTTTAATCTCAGAATTTGGAGGTGGTACGGGATGGACATTGTATCACACTTCTTTTCATGTTGGGTGATCTTCATCCTAAGGCACTTTCCTAGATCCTAAAGCTGGAGGAGATCCTATATTCTATCAACATGTTTTTGGTTGTTTGGACATCCAAAAGTTTACATCTCAATGATTCCTGCGTTTGGGCTCGTGTCCATGATAATTTCTGGCATTTTGCAGTTCATAATCTTTGCTGAGCAATCAATGCTTTTTGCTACCGCATCCATTCTCTTCTTGAAAGTCTTGTTTGACGTTGTGTGTCGAGGACTCGCTTTTGTAGGAGTGCAATCTTGGTAAATTGACACCCTCAAAATGCTCCCTACCCCAAACCCTAGAACCACAATTCTGTGCATCACTCACCACTCTTCCGCTTCCGTGGTCTCTGCGACTCTGGCGGCGATTGCAACTGCTCTGGCGAAGTCGGCCTGGCAAACTCTTCCAAGAAGTTGGGCGAAGAATATTGCAAGCAATGGAAACGTCCACTCATATCAAACTAAGCTCCAAATCAAAAGCGTCTCATACCAAAATATGGTCGCACACGTGACGAAACACCAACTGTTGGTGCTCGTGCTAGCAACCCGCCTGGTCACATCATCGCCTACATGCGGCAAGCAAGGGTGGAAAAAGTCGCTAGGAATCCTGCGTCGTCAGAACAGGCGGACGGCATTGTTCGAGTTAATGACTCAACCATCAACATGGGCGCAGACGCGAAAGGATTCAAATGGAGTCCAGAGTGACATCAATACAACTGGCTGCCGACTCTGTAAGCGTCTGTATGCCCCCGCCTGGCACACGGCTGTCCCTGGGATGAAAAAAGAGCTCAAGGGGATCTAGTTCCACTGGAGCGGGAACTTCAGCCATGTGGTAATGGACGTGATGCTCTTCAGGGTTTGCATTGCTTCCCACAGCCAGTGAGTGCATTGGGTCCCGTGCGTCTCCCAAGCTTCCGACCTCGAAAACTAGCCACAGCTGACAGTTACATAGTGAGAGGAAAACATACCAGAAACATGGGCATCATATCATGTTTAAGTGGACAACATGGATTGAGTCCTTCTTCCATGCGAACTTTGTCACCAGAGGTCACGTGCTGGGATCCAGACTGAGCCACCTTAGGCAAGCAAGATTCCATCTCACGCGCCTTTTGAATCAAGGAAGAGCCCTTGTTTGCATTTAGCAAAGCCGACTTGGCCAGCGACATGCTGTACGCAACCCTGCCAGGAAAAGCAGAGATGCCCTGCCTCCGTCTCTTCTTCCTCTTCCGCAATCTTTTCCAGCTGTGGCAACTGGCAAGAAAGCAGAGTCTTCAACCGGCAAAGGTTGGTGTCAAAGAGCAGACAGTTTCTCTTAACACAGCACCAAACATCGGGCTGACAAACAAAAAACCTTTCCTCCAATCGATAAGGGAGCTACCCACCCATCAGCACCTTGAGAATAGCTACGAGGAATCACTTCTGTTGGAAGTCAAAAACGTCAACACAATGGTTCAAAGAAACCAAGTGCCAAGAATAACTATATGACGTCGGCCAAAGCCCTACTACTATTGTTGGGCCTTTGGCCTGCTGATTTCTTTGAAATTCGCACAGGGCTTACATGTCACAGCTCGACTTTGCTTCAGACTTGGCTAGAGTCCTGCGAAGAATCAACGATGAGGACACCTCTCCTTTAATGTACGTAGAACATCCCGTCACACATCCTTTGAGCATCTGCCATCTGCGACTAATGACGTGCCATCTGCCTGCCTGAGGAAAAATATCCACGTCTGGAACATCCTCGGGCGCTTCGTCCATGGGCAACAGCTCGCAAAGGACGTTGCCGCTGCCGGTTCCACTCGTGCCTGCCCGGTGAAGGCATGCAAGCTTCGCTGTGAGAGACTTTGGAGGGAACTGCCTGATCTGTCAAATTGAATCGCTGACATGCAAAGCTGATCCTTTTCCCCCCCAACAATAACTGCTCGACAAGCTCGTCGTCAGAGCGAAACTTGCCTGCCCCCCCCCCCTGGTTTTTCTCCGTGACCAGCGCACCCAGCCAGCCTATCCCGATCCCTACGAATCGCATCGCATCCGAATCACATCCCTGTCAGTGCGCCCAACCGTCAGCAAGGCGCACCTTCCGGCTCTTCCAGCCATTCGTGTTCCAGCAGCTGCTGCGCCGTCGGCCGCTCATCCGGCTTCTGGCGGTGGCAAAAGCCAAGGGCGAGCATGGCGTCCTCTCTCAGTTCTCTTACTTGTTCTGCAGAAACCACATGAGTTCGTCCACTTGTTCCCGGCTGTCTTTCTTTCTTCTTCCCAACTTCCCTCAAGCTCCATACATTCCCGATGTCATACCCTGAATGTGTGCAATGAGCCCACAAATAATATGCACAACGAATGCCCCAGGCTGAAGTGCTCAACAAGCAATGGGATCGGAGCCCCTCACGATTGCATGATGAGAACCCTTTCAAGGTTACCCCTCCAGTTGCGAGGAAATGGTGCTTTCCCCAAAAAGAGGAAGCTATGCTCCTCTGTTTCTACTCTCACGTCTGGTTCCCTCTACTCCACCAGGTGCCGCGCTGCGCGTGCGCACTGCATGATGATGCCCCTCAAAAGCTCATCCTGCCGGTGAGCGGCTGACAGAACCCTCACACTTGCAGTGATTGTACTATCCATCCTTACCGTGATCGGTGTGGGTGTGATTCCACAAAGCTTGACTGGTCCGTTGTCAGACCAACTATGGTCTTCGACGGCACCGAGGGCACCGAAGTCCTTAACTCGCCGCAGGTTCCGGGGTTTTTCACCCGCCATGACCTTCTTGTACACCTGGCCTGGCTCGTTGCACCCTTCTCCGGCCAAGAGAAGGGCTGCTTCGCCATGAGCCCCAACCGCAACCCCATCAAGGAACGCCAAACAAAGAGCCGGCATCAAAGACCGAGGGTTCAGGTATCCTCCGAACTCCGCAAATGCTTGCTTAAGGAGAGACACTAAAACAGCGACATCATCCTGCAGCTTGGCACCCGCCTTCTGTCCTTAGTGCCAGCTGGAAGCAGAAACAAAGGCAAATCCGCCGCTTGACCTACTTTTACCAAAGAGAAGAGGCGCCTCTCAAAGGACACCTTTGCTCCCGTTCCAAGATCCACAATATGGAGCCGCCGGGTGTAGCACATGGAGTCCCAATTAGGTCTGCAAAGGCAAAATGATCAGTCACATTGATCTCGCAGAGGCCTCTTCACGTGTGATAGAGCTGTTTGAGCTGTTTCTGACACTTCGCTTACATAAAATGGCGGAGGAGCTGGGAGAGAGTGCAAGACATGGCTGTCGCCCCTGGCAAAGTGACTGTCAAAACAAGTTTAACAGGGAGAGAAATGCTTCCTCGGTCCAGATCTAAAAAAGAAACTGAAAGGGCCGATGACCATGGGCAAGTTGTCCTCTGACCCAGGCCCATCCTGGCTATGGTCGGCGGGGGCTGTCGGCATACTATATTCAGAGAGGCGACCATTTCATTATGTGCATGTTGGGAAGCAGAGGGAATCTTCGTCACACAATCGAGCCAAGTCGCTCGCACTCGCTCCAAGGCTGCTCTCGGCCGATCATCTCCAGCAGCACCATGCCAAACGCATAGATGTCTACTGCAGTGCCATACTTCTCCTTGGTCTTGATGTTAGTTTGGTCAGGGTCTTATCAAAGTGGATGAAGCAATATAACATAGGGCCCTTGCTGGCTTCACAATAATGTGCGTTGCTCAATCGCCACAGCTAGTAAGTTACTACAGCCTCCCAACAAAGACCTGCAGCCATGCTGGACACAACTTGCCGGCACTTCTTGATGCTCGAGGTGCGATGAGTATCGTGTAGGTTGCGCTTACCATACACACACACCACAAGAGTCACAAAAACAAAGCACAACACTTCCTTTAGTGCATCTCTAAGGAGGTTTCCGAGTCGCAAGGGCAAAAAAGATCTGGCAACATCGCAACCAAGGGGCATCATAAATCTCCGGAGCAATGAAGTCAATGGTGCCGACGATCGACCTCCGTCAGATCCATGGATGTTCATACGTGTTCCAGGCTGATCCATTGCATGCACAGGCACCCGCTCAACAAATCACACCACAAACAGTGCAGTAATGACCAAGATGATTGGCCATCGCCTTCACACAAAAATCCTGCAGCATCGCAGAGCCCTGTGTAAAAACCATTCTGTGCATCTGCAACTCCCAAACGCCTCTGGCCCAACAAACCATCCATTCAGCCAGCATGCCTGGCACAGGACTGCTTCAGCGTCGTCGAGAGGCCCAGGTCCCCGATGACGATGTCCCCGCGGTTCCCTGGCGCCGCGAGTCGTTCACTTCAGGTCTCGTGCTGCGAGGATGCCATGCACTCGCATGTTAGTTGACATAAGAGCCCCTGGCGTGCCAAGAAAGCAAACAAGGTGATGCCCCTTGGAGTGTCCCCGCGTTTTGAACAGAGAAGAGCCAGTGGCTAGCAAATCAGCTGAACCAAGTTGATGGCACATATGAACAGCTAACAGCCAACAAAACCCCCGTACCATGTGTATAGAATAAGCCTCCTGACCTTCTGCCAATCAGTTAGTTGGTGTTGGGTCCACCCACGTGTGGAACACAATCTCACAGCCCACGACAAACCGTCCCACCATCAACACACAACTAACCCTGTAACTTATGGGTCAAATGTAGTCCTGAGCCGGGCATGCTTACGTGTACCTGTACACCTCACCGAAAACAAAACGCAGTCCCGGCGCCGTTGATGAAGATGTTGTCGCACTTCAGGTCACGGTGAATGATGGGGTCCGGCCGAGTGTGGAGGTAGTTAAGGCCTGGCGTCGGAGAGTCTGATTTCCGTCGCAAGCCTGGCACAACCAGCCGCACGCACGGCCATGTTGAGGCAAAGCATTTTAAGCTTTTACGCCACACCAATCCGCGACCAATTTGTTGGCCAAAAGCTCATCTGCTGTGTAAAACTCATCCGCAAGCGGCATGGCCAAAATTAGAACGCAGAGTCCCACCTTCCAGGATCTGTCGGCACCAGTTGCGGATGACCTTCAGCTTCAGCGGCGCGTTGATGCGCTTGATGTACTGCAGCAGCGACCCACCAGTGATGCGCTCAGTGATAAAGCACACCTGTCCGGAGGCAGTCTCGCAGCAAAACAAGTTGCTATGTGTGCGTGCGTCTGTGTGTGTGTGCTTATCATATGCGTGTTTGTGTCTGAGCAATGCATCAACACTCCGGGTAGCGCAACCACCAGCTCCAGTCTGGCCTGCTCTTGCTGCTTGTTCGTCCAAGCGTTGATGAAGGCAATGATCTTTGGGTGCTTCAAGGTTTTCAGCATGTTGATCTCATCCGAGATTCTCTTCTTCGCCTTCCTCAGAGGAAGCCGGCGATGCTTGGACTCTTGTTTGATGCTTCCTTCAGTCCAAGCTCCCCAGCGCCGCCACTCCTTTTCTAAAGACGCACTCGGCTCTCAAGCCAAACGCCTGTACGCCAAATCGCGCTGATGTGGCAACTCACATGGCCAGGAGAAGCGTGCGTCATTCCGCAAAACTACGCGAGTTTGCCCCAAAAAAGTATCACATGCAACACTCCTTCTCCGGCCAAGGGGACTCCAAACCCAAGAGCAGTTTGTGCTGCTGCACAGGCGGATGACAAGTCGTCCCACAAAAGTGTACTAAAGTTCTTGACAAAACTCACCGCTCAGACAAAAGCATAAGGCATGGGACCTTTGACGAACAATGTTGCCACTGGCAACCATTTCCACGGCTGGGTGCAGTGGCGGGCTCTAAAGTCCGTCACTGGTAGACCTGAGCAGGAGATTTGTCAGGCACCTCCACCTGCTCAAAACAATGAGGGGAATCGCTTCCTTGAACACGGGATTGCTACCTTTCACAATCCAAAGTGGGGTCCCAAGCTCGAAATGTCCTTGAATTTGTCTCAATTTTGTCTCAGGCGAGGCCGAAAGAAGAAGCAAGTTGCCTCATGTGCCTTCGGTTCTTAAGCCAAATGCAAAGGTACTGTGTTTGTCGCGTATGCGAATGGCGATTCAAGGAGAAGGGCCCCGAAAGGTCAGGTGCAAACCTAGAGGGCCACTCGCCAAGTTCTCCGATGAAGTCTGCACCATAAGCTACCCGCAGTAGCTTGCAAACTAAACGATCAAAGAAAAGCCATAACTTGTGAGCAGTGTGTTTTGGGGAGGTAATGCTGATGATGCCTACGCCATGTCATGCGGGACGGCCCACGCGACGCGCATGTCAGCCTTAAAACGCCTACGCGCGCCTACACGCGCCTACGCGGTTGGAGGTGTGCTCTCAAGGTGCCTACGCGGCGTGCATTTCGTTCCGTTCTAAAACTCGTACGTACACACCTACTGGCAACCTGTCAAGTCGAGCCTATGCAGTGCCTGCGCGAGCAGCTCCGCAGCCGACAATCCAAAAGTAGCTACGCGCGCCTCGCGCGTGCAGTAATATGCCTACGCAGGGCCTGATATGTCCACTCCCGTTTTTCCCCAATCCCAACAGCTCTAACGGTCCGGATGTTCATGTGGCTGTGGGTCAAAACCAATGGTACCATTTTGGTAGGTGAATTCACCACCCACATTACCTATTTAACTGGCTTGGATTGGTTGATGTAATCACTGGGGGCTAACCGATTTGGGTTTAACGACTCTTCCCATGGCCCGATTTCGTCTCACTCGCCTTGCCCTCCACCACGTTCACGCCGCCAACGTGCTGCAGCTCCTTGCGCCGCCCGGCCAACAGCCGCTGCTCCAGGCGCCCAGGCCTGCGCCCCGTGATGCGCACGCCGCCCAGGTTCCTGGGGCGGTTTAACCGCGATGCGGGTAGCGGCTACGGGCAGAAGGGCCGGGCCGAAGTGTTTTCGGGCGAGACGATTCATGAACCAATGTTGAGTCACAATCAAAACCTGGTACAAAACATGGTGAACCCAGAACCATGTAAAGAATTAGAAAGGTTTGATTGTGGCTCAATTGTCGCTCCATGCCGTAGCGACACAAAGTTCTGCGAGCTAGAACTTTCGAACCTGAGTACCCCATCCCCAGCCAAATTCTGCACGAACACCACAACTCAGCCGAATTCTGGGGCACGAACAACTCGAGCGGCTTCACTGCCAAGCTTCCCCTCGAAAAGGTCCATGACGACCTTGTAAAACTTCAGCCGGGAGGTAAAGATCGCCTCTCCGTGCATGCTGACCGTCTCCGCCTTGGACTCCCCGTACAGGTCATGGCGCGCCTTGGTCCACTTCTGCCACTGCGCGGACAGGTCCACCACCTGAAGGCTTCGGCTTCATCCACTCAAAGTCACAGATCGCAGTGTGCGTCCCTCCATGAGTCCCCCTGTGAACTTGAAAGGACACGAGGCCCTAACTGGAATCTACCAGGTGGCCTTTTTCAGTTGGAGCACAGCCCCCAAACAGTCATGCCCCCTTGGATGCTCAATTTGTGCCTATCTCAAGTGAAATCCATTCAGGACCTGCCACCCCCCCTGCCGACTTCTGGATGACGCTCAAGCTTTTCAGGCGCCTGGATGTCCACAAAGCCAGCCTTCTCCAAGTCCTCCACATACTGCTCCGGGGTGGTCACCGTGGGGGCGAAGACCACATCCAGCAAACTCGACCGCTCCTGCAGCAACGAGCTTCGACCCGCGAAGGTGGATGGATCCCGACTTGGGACCCACAGAAAGTTGTCAACATCCTTGCAAGGCTCGGCGCTCCAAAACAGAAGGAACCCCCACACCTGCCTGCTCCGTGAAGGACTTCCCAGGCTTCGCCGCGAAGTCTTCGATCACAAAGGTCCCCCCCTCCCGGGTAGCCGCGAAGCAGGCCTGCGATGGCGCACTCAAAGGCCACGCATTGGGACCTCTGCCTCTTGGACCTCACCCAAAACGCGGGGAATGTGTCAAACATGTCAAACTCGCCTCTTTTGCCGCCTGGCTTTTGGACGGTCAGGCACTCACTTGAGTGGAGTTTGGCATTTCTGCCTCCAGCAGCGCTGCACGGTCAGGAATGTGCAAGAAGACCAGCAGCGACAGAAAGTGGTCGAAGCTCTCATCGGGGATGGCCTTCCATCGGCGTTTGTCGGGTTTCCTGAAAGCTGTCAGCTGAAGGAGGACAAGTCCTGCCTTGGCTTCGCCAGTTCCCATTTGCCACGTTCGAAAGTACTGAAATCTTGAGGTTACCCCCCCTATCGAAGGATTCGATTTGAGGAACTGCCTCACTTCCTCCCGTTACAACTTCTGCTTGAAAAGGACCCTCCTTCAGGTGGTTTCTTTCTTCGCTCTACGTCGTGCTGCTTGTCAAGCCTACGTCTGCTTCCAGCTCTGCTTGAAAAGCATCATCTTTCGTTCTGTGTCCTCTCCCCAGTGTACGGAGGAAACCTAAGGCCACCCACCTTGCACGGGTTCTTGGAACCTTAAAAGAGTTCTGAGAATCCTTTCTGCGGGTCGAGGTTGGGGTGGGGCAACGAGGCCGCAAAAGAAAGCTGTGTCGGACTCCACTTGAGGCTCGAGCCCACCAAACCAACCCAACGCCCACCCATTCAGGGCTCCATTTTGTCACCCGTAGATTTAGGTTCCAGTCCTCCGCAAACCCATCCACTTCTCAGCTATCAAGAGGCTACTCCCAACATCCTCAAAAGACGGACAGGAGCCTAAAAACCAAAAGTTTCACACACCCTCCAAAGGAAGGATGACGGTAAAACACGCCTTTCCACACGAAAACCGCACGATTTTACACACCCTCCAGAAAAATGAAAAATAAAACTCATGACACACCTTTCCACACACTTTGCTGGCTTCTCCTTGTTTCCTTCGACCCCACCTTGCTCTTGGAGAGCTGGATGATGTCCCCCACCTGGAAGTCCACCTTCCCCTTGAGCTCCGTCACCCGCTTTGTCAGCTGCTCCCCGGCCTCGCAGATGTCCGCCTGGAGCTCCACACCGGTGACCTTGCACCCCGTCCTGGCGCTTGACGGCGCACGGTCGCACGGTCGTTGCACCCGTTCCCTGGGCGGTTTCTCAAAAAGGCCCAAGGCGGCGTTCCCTTGGGCTTCCAAAACAAGACGCAAGGCGGGGGGTTCCTTTGGGCTTCCAAAAAAAAAACGCAAGGGGCGACCGTGTTAAGCTTGGTGTGAAGAGCGACCAAGACATGTACGTCCACCGACCACGTTGGAGTAACCATGGCCAAGCTGCGGCCGTTCTGGCAGCTGCTAGCAAACACGGATTGCAATGGGAGCTGCAAACCCTATTTTGAAGCTCTGTACATCTCGCAGTGAACCTGGTTCATGCTAGCGCTGAAATCAACCAGGAAATAGAACTCCTTGATGGACCGAGTCTGTGATGCAAAGCTAATTACCCTGTTGCGCCCTTTCCGTCGACCGATTGCCAACCCCACGCTCGACTCCGCGACTCACGCCTGCTAGCGATGTATCGGGCAGGGCCCCCAATCCCGGAACCAATGTCTAAGCAGTGGACCGTGTCGTCAATGCCCAGCAGCTCGATGACGTGGTCGTTGGCCTCCACACCCCCGTAGTGGTACTGGTCCAAGTGCCCCAGTGCGGTGAGGTCCGACACGTTCAGCGGGCCTCCGGGCAACTCGAGCAAACCGATGCAGCGCTGGAAGCAAAAGAAAAAAAGACACAAAATTGGCAAAGTGGAGCAAAGTGCAGAAACAGAGCGAGGTGCAAAAATAATCGAATGGGTTTTATCCCAGTCCTGTCTCCTTGCCCATCTTTTTGAGGGCATTGTCCACTGCAGCCACACGCCAATTGTACATCGCCTCCGTGAGATTCCCGCGGCCTGCAGCTAATGCTCGCCACTGTCGTGGCCGCAGCACTCGTGCCATGGGGAGCATGGCGCGCATGGCGGGCGACGCCGTGAAAAAATTAGCTCAGCTTTCCTCAGGGAAGGAGCAACAGCTGAGAGACCGCGCTGTGCACTTGATGGCGCCTCTGATACCACATGCTACATTGACTCACAGTGAGCCTGAGTTGCAGGGTGTCTGAGAACTGCAGCCTATCTTTCTGAGCTTTCAGAAGCTCGAGCCCTCCTAAAAATGGTCCGACACGAGGCGTGCACGACTGATGCACATTGCTCAGCAGCTAGGCCACACGCTTCTCCATGTGTTGGAAGGAGATGATGTTCCAAGCTACCTCCATGCCTCCGACACTGACAAGCTTCTGCAAGTCACATCCAAGCGAATCCGGCCAAGCGCTGATTCTTGTTTCAGCGTTGCCCCTGTGGCTGGTAAGGAGCCAAAAAGTGATGATCCCAAAAGCAGCTATCAAGTTGAACGCCCGCTCACGCACGCAGCAAAAAGAAAGGTCCAGGGGTGCTTGTACACACCTCTTGTACATACCCCTTGGGCACATGAACCCAAGGGGTATGAACAAGGGGTATGTACTTCCACCCTTAGACAAGGGGCAATTGTACAAGATATGTCAATGTCCCCATGCCGAGAAACCGCGTGTCAGAAAAGCTAGCTCACCCAGGCCTGTGTCGTTGTCAAAGCCAAGGTACACCACCTTCGGGGATACAAATGCGATCACGTGGTGTGTGAACCACGGGATGACCAATCCAGGTAAGCAATCAAACGCCAACCTGAAATGTCGTTGGGTCCGAAGAGCTGATTCTTTTTGATACAAGCATTTGCATGCTTTCGTCTGTTTTAGGTGACCCCTCCAAAATGGTGGGATTCCTTGGTTTCCCTTTGAAACACCAAATAGACAGATCCACATCTGCCTCGTTGTTCGCAAGAGCAGGCCATCAATGGACACTGGTCAATTGTGCCGTGCCCATCATTCCCCACAGCCCTTGGGTCTTGCCGCATTTGTTTCTACAATGATCAAAGTCACCCTCCAAGTGGTGACTTAAAACGGAAACCACCGATTCCATTTTCTACAACTTTGATAACCCCCGAAACCGCCACGAAAAAGAATGACCCAAAATAAATCGGCGCCAAAAAAATAGGACCACAAAAATGGTAAAAAAAATCGACCCCGACATGGACAAACAAAAACATCCCCCGGTCAAGTTGACCGGAAAAAAAAAGCCTTGTAGGAACCAGAGCCCAGCTTCCGGTTGAAGCGCACGAAGCGTCCCAGAGGCGAGCGCTCCTTCACCTGACACCAACAGACCCGACAATGGAAGACGTGGTGAGTAGGGCGAATGGTTGGAAGGCTAAGAAGTTGATGCAACTATAGACGAATGTGTTTCCAAGCTCATGCATTACTTCCGGACTTGCCTTCATTCAAATGGGTACCCATCTCGCTCAGCTACATTTCGAGGACTGTGGATGCTTACTTGCGCCCCCTCCAACAACAAATCTAAATACTCGCGTCCGTCTCCATCCCTTGCTCAGCAATGGCCTCGCTAATCTTCTGCTTATGGCTTGTCCCTTTAGTTTTCGTTTTGGGTCCAGCTCAGATTCATCAGCTTGTTCATTCGCTGCACGTGTCTGTGCTTGTTGGGTTTTGCTTGTTCATGGCATAGAATCTTGTTGTGTCAGCTTCCGGGGTGTGGGTTTGCTTATGGCATGTGAGATGCTTCGGCCAAAACATCCAGCCTCGTCTTTGCTCATGCTCTCATTCTCCGGGTAGCTCTTCTTGCGCTTCCCGATGTCTGTCTCTTCATCGTCCGAGCTGCTCCCTTCCTGGTCCTCCTGATCCTCCTGGTCCTGACACAAAGCGCTCAAGAGAGAATGGAGCAACGGCCTTGACTATAACTTCTGGAAAACACACCAACACCACAAATACACTGACATGAAGAAACTGAATGGAAGAAAAACCAGCTCGGTGGTGAGACGATTGCGGGCCTCTTGTTCCACCTCATCGTCAAGAGTCTCGTGCTCCTGCCAAACAAGTGTTTTTGTTCGCACGAAGATGCCTAGCTCTCACGATCGAAAACGCATATCACAAATCTTGAAGTACTGCCGGCGCAAAACTGGAGTAAGGTTGTTCAAAGCTGAATGCCCTCACTTGCACACGGTGAAACTAAGCTGCTGCCTCTATCCGTGATTGAATGGGAAGCCCTCAGACCCCACCACCTTGGAAGTATCTGGGGGAGGCTCCCCCAAAGGGTTCCACTTTTTGGCTACCCCAAGATAGGCGGGGGTAATGACCCACCCCTGGGTATAAGTCTGCCCGTAGTCAAAAAGTGGAACCCTGGAGTCCTCCATGGTTCACGCACTTCACACCCCCCTTCAGCGCTTCTCCTTCAGCCCCCGCCGGCTCTTGCTCTTCTTCTTGGGCGCGGCCTCCCGACCAAAAATAGCAGGAGCGGACCGCTGTGAGAGGATTTTGTTGTTTAAAACCTCAAACCCCAAAGTTCACCACACTGCGTTCGCGGAATTTTGTGCTTGGAACACCTGCCACCCAACGATGACCTGGCCTCTGTCGTGGCCTGAGCTGACCTGGCCCCGTCTGTGACCTGGGCTGCGAGGCTGTCGCGGTTCATGCGACCGGGGCTTCAAAATGTTGGAAAAGCTTGGCAAACAAAAGTTCTCTTGAAGTATGTGGAACAGCAATGCAGATGACCCATGCGAGTTGAAGGGCACATGTCAAGAAGCTTCCACAGCAGGCAAAACAAAACATCACATTGCTTGCAAAATGGGACCCCGATTTGTTCAGTGGGTGCCTCACGTTGATAAGGGCAAGCGGGAAGGTTAAGATGCCGACTGCTTTGGCGCTCTCGGGGATCTCAGCCTGGCGCTCGCCCATGCTTCATGCAAATCTCTGACTCCTCAGTGCCTTAGCGAATAACTTGGCACCCCTCAACGCCATCTCGCCATCTGTGAGAGTTCAAGGCTATCATGCCCGAATGTCCAAGAGAAGCACGGGCAGCTCAGGGGCCGGGAAGGAGCCCAACATGCGCAACGAGAAACAAAGCAGCAGAAAGAGCAAAGCCTCGCCGCACATGGCGAGAAGTACCTCAGCCTTTTGGCAGAGCCTGTCTGAGGGTGAGATAGTAGAGTGAACAAGACTTCCCCCCGCATGTGCCCACTCACATTGCAAGATCCTTCTGGCAAAATGCAAGAAATCCACGGCAAGCAGCCCAGGTTACGCAGACTCGACAAGGCCAAAATCCATTCAAGCTGCACTGGTTTAGAATTCGGATATTCATCCCCAAGTGAAAAACGGTTTCATGAGAAACACACACCAGTTTGCCGATAATGACCGCCCCTGAAAGCAACCGCGAGAACAGGCCCTGTTCTTCCGGCCTGCAAACTCAACCCTCAACCGATTAGAAATCTCAAGTTAGTTTCCCTCTTACCACAGGAGGCTTTGGAGCAAATGCACACGAATAAACCAAAGAATAAACCAACAAATAAACCTCTGCCAAAGAAGAAACCCAAAAACCGAAAGGCAAACAACCCCCGGGCGCGCCAGGAGTCAGCGAGTCAGAGCCAGCCTGCCCAGCGGCGGGAGGCGCTGATGCCATCGCTCCTTGCGACTTGTGTCTCTAGAATTAGCAAGGTCCCCCAATTTGAAACGGAAAAACCTCAGACAAATCCTCACCTAGATTTGTAGTGAGTCAACTTCAATGTCTGGGGTTTCAAAGTTATGGACTTGAGCTAATTATCAAGGTCGCCCGCTGCACGTTTCCGGCGCATTTAGACCGGTCGAAGCAGGGTGTGAACAATTGGTCAGGATACCCCGGTTTCAGCACCTGCCACCCCGACAGAAACACCCGTGGATCCAAGCAATTCACTGCAAGGCCGATATAAAATCAATCTGTACTCAAATGTTTCAAGGTCAAAAGAAGGCAAGCCCATACATCAAACAAAGTGGCGTAAGGTGGAACTGAGGTGAATGGGGACAGCAACAAGTGAGCCCATTTATCAAAAACACAATGCAAATTGCTACTGTCACACAAGAAATTATCCGGCTTGCCTTTACTGCGAGACCGGCATTCTGACGACTTTTGACGCCGCAACGCAAGTGACTCTTACTTGGGCACAGCCAACATGATTTTACTGCAAAACCCATGACGTGCAATCAACATGCATTCGGCGCGGCCATGTCTAAAGGGCGGATCAAATTCCTTAAGCGCACCCCCGAATTTAAGCTAGTTAATCGGCAGCCAAAATTCCTTGAGCGCAGCTGCGACTTTGGGAACCGAGCCTGCAACGGCGCGATTGCAAGAGCGGTCGCGCAAACCCCGAGACGACTTCCAAGGACCAGCTCGCAAGAAGCAAAATTCGCATGGGACAAGCACTCGCAGAGGGTTGATCTGCGCGCCGCAGAACCGTCAAAACTCCTCCTTTTTTGACATCGACCACGCCAATTTTCGCAGAGAATTGGTCGGACACCGCAGAATCGTTCAAAGTCCTCAGCTTTTTGACATCGACCACGCTGATCTGGAGGGTTGCGGCGCGCGCCGCGTAAAACGTAAAAGTTCCACATTTTGTCTGACATCGACCACGCCGACCCCTGCAGCGAGTCGATCCGTACGCCGCAAAATCGTAGAAGTCGTCAGCTTTTCGACATCAACACCCCCCCCCCCCCGCCTTAAAAGATGAGTCTTATTACCGAGCTCTCTCGCGAGCGGTAAGAATCTTCTCTGTAGAAACTGAATTTAACTAGCATAGCTACTACCGCCAAGCCCAAGAACCCGACCTTTGACGCCCAGACTATCACTTCGCAGGCTATTCCCCAGACTACTCAACTCGCTTCTACGCAGATGGCTCTGCAAAAGTATCTCTGCGCAGCTGCGCAGATGGCTCTGCGCAAGTTGCTCCGTGCAAATTCGCTCTGCGCAAGTGGCTCTGCGCAGATGGTTCTGAGAAGGTGGCTCTGCGCAAGTTAACCAAGGGCTCCGCGCGGAAGAACCCTTCGCGATGCTTTCGGGAAAGCTGAGAGGTTACGCCGGCTCATACTTCAACGACACAACCTGTAGATGCGTTTTCTTCAACACCTCCGTCAAATCTCAGTTCTAGACAAAGCAACATGCCTGTCCACGGATCTCGCCGACGCAAGGTTCGGGGGGGGGGGGGGGGAACTTGCAGCAATGGAAGAATCCACAATTGAAGCTCCAACCATGCTTAGAAGTCCACTAAGGTCTGACCCCAAGACAAAACGTCCGTCCCTGACTCGGTCTCTGCTTCCCCCTCCGGTCCTGCTCCGTGCCTATGGTTGTCGTTACCCGCTCAAGCCCACTGCTCCGCCAGCTTTCCCGGTGCGCTTGCAAGTTTGCGCCTTGAAAAACAGGGATCTCCTGTAAATCCTGTCATAGACGCCTCATGCCGAAGCCAAACCGCATGCCCAACTTTGCTGCATGTAGTGCTCCATGTGCTGAAAAATTATTGCTTGCTCTCCGTGTCCCTTCGACCTTCGGCTGCGCGCGATGGGAACCTCTCAACGTTGCCATTTCAGCTGCCTGTGCCATCCCATGGAAATGTGCTGGGTTCTCGATTGAAACTCCATCTGCCAGACTCCAACCATGGTTCTGTCTAATTAGGCATCAAGGCTCGAGTCTGAGCTTGAGCTTGATCCAGCCAATGAAAAGCCAAACCGTGAAGACACATGCCTTTTGCTTCGACTCGACTCGTTCGACGTGGTTCAACGTGGTGAGACTACGCAGATTCGGAGAGCTGCATAGAACAAGCCTTCAGCAGCATCCATGGCCCAACGTCCTCTGCTTCTATGTGGGATGGCAAATGCGTAGGCAAGGAGTGGCTGCGCATGTTCAGGGCATCTGCGAATCCTCAGCGCTCCAAAAACAAAGAAGGCACGAAGGACATGCCGTGCCATCACCCCATTGACTCGAGTTGTGTGCAAGTTTGCCACAATCGCGACACCTACAAGCCAAGCAGCCCTGCGCCCTTTGGGCAATTCCTTCCTGAGCGCTGAAAGCACTGAAAGCTTGCGAGCCTAGAATGCAGGAGGGTCTCTTCTGTTAGAAAATTGGCGACCCCCGCAAGGAGTGCTTCACAAGGGGGGCGATTCTTCCACCCCTTGCAAAAAAAAAAAAACCTGTTGGAATGGCTCTTCCGTTGGGTCGCACAAGCCCGGAGATCCTGCCCAGCGGCCACCAGGTGATCGGGCAGACTCAGATCCGAGACCTCTTCCCCCTCCTCGTCCCGCGCCTGCGGGAAAAAAATTGAACGGGATGGAAAGGCCAAAGAAAGCGCCGACTCAATGCCTCCTTCATGGCCCATTTCTCGGAGAAACCATAGGTGAAAGAATGCTGGGTTGTCAGCACGCGAGCGCTGCAACAAAGACACGAATCTGCAAGGAAACGGGAAGCTTGAGGCATGGTAAGAGACAGTCTCAGTCAGGGGATTGAATCGGGGCCTTGCTTACTGCGTCCCAGCCTCAATGACGCTGATCAACCTGAGAGACCATAGAAATGGGATCCGCTTCAACAACCCTGACACAGCCAGCCCAGGAACAGCAGACCAAAGATCTGCAGGTACCTGAGCCGCACGCGATTCACGCTTTCGAGCGTACGGTGCCTCCAAAATCCAACCAAGTTGCTGGAACAGCGGTCCGGGGTATTCAGCCGCAAGCCCGCAGAAGATTTCGCCCTGCAATACTGCCTGGAGCAAAGGCTCTTACGCTTCAAGGATTCTGGTGCAGACTTCCGTAAGCTTGGCGTCCACGATTTCTGTTGGCTGCCGAATTTACGCCAGGCAGCGAAGTAGCAGGTTCCGCTGTCAGCATTCCTCGGGCAGGCGGCAACCCCGCAAAAGAAGCAGCACTGTCCCGGAGTCCAAAGACGAAGTTTCACTTGGATACAGCAAGTTCGAACCGTTTCCGGTCTCATCTTTGCAAGTACGGAAAGTTCCTCAATCAGCACTTGCACACGGGGAGCGCGTTTGACCAGCCTAATTGGGAGCTCAAGCAGTCTCAGCTGCGTGGCGGTCGGTAGGCCAAAGCAGTCGGTCCGAAGCTACGACTAACAAGCTGCCACTTTCAGATCACAAGCTCACTGTAAAACATTTGATCCTTGAGCTAGCCTTCATTTATAGAAACCTCCGGGTTTCAATATGCCAACCTCGGCATCTTCTCAACTTTAAGCCAAGCTTCAGCCTGCCGCGGTGCGTCCAGTTCGCAAACAACGCTGGGGTGGATAGCCAAGTGCCCTCATCTATATGCCAGCGCTCCTGGTGTCGGGGGAAAAAAGAACAGCGTGTTGTGAAGAATCAATGTTGATAGGGCTTCGCTCACAACTCCCGTGGCACTGGAACTAGTTGAGACGTGCATTCTTCGAATAAATATGCCCTCCTCGTGAAACAGCTAAGAAAAGCTAACGCAAAACGGGCGTGCTGTCTCAAGCAGTCGTGTTTTTGTTTGGAAGGCAATTCCAATCATACATTCCACACATGCAGCAAGGCCTTGTTCAGAGCAAGGCTCCACTCGTTGCTACGGTCGTACAGCTCAAATGTAACTGCTCATGTCACTACACACCCACTTGTGCCCCAAAACAAACTAAAGTTGCGGCTGCACAAGTCTTTTAAGCACACATATTCACAAGCATGAAGCAATACCCTTTTACCCCAAGGGGTCCTGTGCAACATGGTGGACTGCACACTGCCGGATGCTGGGCCACCAAAAAACAATAAAGTGGGCCAGCCATTTGCACGCACGGTAGTATGAAACACCTAATAGAATGCGGTTTTGGCCCGAAAAGGAGGCATAATCAGCACTTGTTCGGCCAAAGTGTCGAAAGTGTCGCGAAGGTGGAACGCAGCCGCTTCAAGCTTCGGAGAAAAAAAGCACGGTTGTGACTTGTTTGTGTCCCCTCTTGGAGGGAAAGGTATTGAAGCAATATTGCTTCATTCTCACGAATGTCACAATGTCGGCTCATCCGCAAGACCCAATTAAGTGTTTATCCGTTTGCGCGGGCCGGCCGCGCCGGCGGACTGCAAGCACAAGAGAGAGAGAGAGAGAGAGAGAGAGAGAGAGAGAGAGAGAGAGAGAGGTTAGGACTTTCTACGGTTTCACGGGTTGGCTTTTGGGCGGGTCTTCTGGTTTGTCATTTAATGAAATGTTTATAGGTTAAAAGTTCACTATAATTATAACATATAGGAATTTAAATGATATAATTATGGTTTAGTTTTGAATTATACAGGTTCATCAACAATTAGCTTAAACCTTATGCTTTTGACTCCTCCAAACTCCGTTCTACTTCTTTCTTCATCAATACAACTGTTTACTTCTTGATACGACGCCATCATTACTTCAGATAAATTATCTATGGTTACATTATCTACAACATCATCACTATGAGAAAAGAACGTAAAAGTTCTAGAATCATCGTCTTGATGATCCCCCACAAACAAACATACCTCAACTATTAACGTTACTTCATAACCTTCACCAGTTTCAAGGTCATCTAACAAACAATCTAAGTTTTCATTTTCATTAAAAACTATATCTTCGATGCTTTTAATGCTTAAAGGTATATTCCTTGTAATGTAATACTTAATTATGTGTCTCTTGAAATCATCACCACCTACAACAGTGCAGTGCTTTGTCTTTCTTTTTGTTTCAGTTCTGTTAAATTTATATCGTTGTTGTATTCTCTTTAATGTCTCAATATGATTATGTTTTATATTCAAATACTCCGGTTCACCTAATTTATATGAAATTATATTTTTGTTGATATATCAACAGGTAAGGTAGTCCAATTCTCACTCATTGTCTCTTATTATATTATATTAGTTTTTCTTTAAGTAGTTTTTAGCTGGGGGTTTCAGGTTTCATTTAAATACCTTGTTAGATTATAAAACGTTGTTGTAATCATATTATAGTTACAGATAATATGAATAAACCTATTCTCAGTGTTTCCAGTCTCCTATGTTGTTCCAAGAACTGCTTAAGATGTTTCTGATATTATACCAGATTAAGTTAACGTCATAATCTTTCATTGGTGCTCTTTGTTGTATTAAATAACGCAACACTGATATCAAAGAATAATAATTTCAATGCATTGTTGTCATTCCTCCTCTTTCATTAATACTATTACCATTATGTTTAACGAGTTCTTCTTTCATTATGTTTTCGTAAATATCTTTTATCCATTGATGATTTTGTTCTCCATACTCGGCGAACATATCTATATATATATATATATATATCTTCCATTGTTTTATCGTTTTTAATTATTTCAATGACTTGTTTATATGATGGATAGGGATTATCCTTAATGAAACTCAATCTTATTTTTCTATCCTGTTCCAGCTCCTTTTCTGTCACTCCTATCATTGGCATTTCACTTCTTAATATTGTAAGTTAATATTTCTTTAAGTTATTTTATGTTAAGGGGTGGGGGTTTATGTTGATAAAAATATTTTCTAACAAATAATATAATGGCAAGATTAACGAAAGACCAAATAATCAGCAACATCTATTATGACTTGGACGATGGTTTCGGAAGCACACAAGCAACACACAAGAAGGCAAAGGAAGAAGACCCAACGATAACATTAGAAGATGTAAAGTCTTTCTTAAAGAAACAACCAAATAAACAAATCAAAAATTATAGAGGCACTAATTCCTATACCGCCCCGTTTGCTAGGTATGAATATCAAATAGACATAATGCATATGTCACCTTTAGCTAAAGACAAGAATGTTCCACAGTATGCTTTAGTCGTGATTGACATCTTCAGTAAATTAGCAGATGTAATTCCGATGGAGGAAAGAGACGGAGAGCACGTTTTGAAGGCGCTTAGAGCAAGTTTTAAAAAGATGGGTTACCCGATGTCTGTGTATTCTGATGATGATGGAGCGTTTGCAACCAAAAACCAAGTTCAGGATTTCTTCAACAGCGAAGGTATCAAACACATAATAACGAAGACACACGCAAATGTAGCCGAACGTTTTATTAGGACAATGAAAAACAAAATTCATGATAGAGCTAGGTTTAATAATATGAAATGGACCGATGCCTTAACACCAGCATTGAAACAGTATAACAGCACATTACACTCGTCAACAAGGATGACACCAACCGAAGCACACAAGGACGACAATGAAATAAATGTAAAGGTCAATCTGAAACTACGAGAAAAGAACAAAAGAAAGTATCCCAGAATACAGGAGAACGATAAGATAAAAGTGTTTCAAAAGAAAAGGGGCAATTACACCGACAGAAAAGAGTATAACTCTAAATGGTCTAATAAAATATTCAATGTTGATAAAATTGAATATGATATTATGGGTAATAAAACTTACAGAGTAGCAGGAATAAACAAACCACTTCTGAGACACGAAATTTTGTTAGTTAATGATTAAACATATTTCTTGGTATCTTCAATATACTTGACTTGGTAGAAATCCAGACTTGATTGCTTAGGTTCTTTAATAACTTTTTCATTAAGTTTTTTAATATATACATTTCGTTTTTAATATATACACTTCAGTGCTCTCTCTATCAACTTCTTTTGGTTGGTAATTATTAGAATTATTGTAAGCTGGTTTCTTCATACTTTCTAACAGTTGATAAATGCGTTTATTTTGTTCCATTATTTCATCAATCTTCAAGATTAGTTTATCCACACCTTCCATATATACTATATTATAAAACTAAAGTTTTAAAACTGAATATTTTAATTTCGAAGGTCTTTGTTACTTAAATGTTTAAATTCTTCGCCTTCTACCATAAGTCTAACAATGTTATCTAAATCTTTTTGAGTATGTCCACATACTAACGCTTTGTCTAGATATAAATATTCATAGCTAAGACCAAAACTAAGTAATAAAAAGTTATATTTTTTAGTTTGAGTACGAGTTAAGACTATTTTACATCCACACTTACAGGTATAATAACTAACACCATTATAATTATTGTCTCCAATTTGTTTATCTAATTCAAGTGCTCCAAAATGTAAATGTGTTAAACTTGAAAATTCAACCATATACTATATTATTCAACTATACTTTTAAAACTAAATGTTTAAATTATGTTAATTCTTCTCTTTAAATACTAATTTTTCATCATTTGTTTAATAGTTTCCTGCGTTTCGTTATCACCATTTTCCGAGAGTGCTGCATCCTTACCCCATTTAAAAGTTATATTATGAACATCTGTTTCTAAGTTGATACTGTCTTTAGTTTTATCAATATTCATTTTCTTATCATTTTTACTAATTTTGAAACTTGTTGGAATACACGAACATTTACAATGTCCTTTCTTTTGTATTTGTAATTCATTCTTAAGTTCTAACATTCTTTTGCATGTAGGACAAACAACCTCAATAACTGATGTTTCTTTAACAATTTCTCCATCAGTTGATGAAACACTTAAACCTGTCTTATTCTTTTGGTTTTTCTTTTTTGGCATTTATATTAATATTTACATTTTTATTTTTGATATATTGTATTCCTAGCTTAATTAATTCTAATGAATAATAACAACATTTCTTAATTTTATTATTGGTTATCACAACATCTTCTATATGTTGTACTTCATTTATTATATCAATATAATCTGTATAACTCCTTTTCATATTAACTAATAAGATGAAATAATTATTTAATCTTATTATTTTCATGCATAATAGAATATTGGTGGGGCACAGCACTTGGGGTTTTCATTGCACACGCGAGCAAGACACAAAACTAATTATCTTCAATGCTTATTGATTGAAGTTGATGAAAGAGCCTGTTCTACTACGATAGACACCATTCATATCATAGCAATGCTTTCATACAATAAATAATATTAGTTTATTTTCTAAATATTTTCAATATTAGTACTTTATGTCTGAAGTTCCCATTATAAAACCAATAAACATAACTGACTATGAATTCAACCAATCCAAATATGAACATGTACCAAAACTACCTTTTCGCTCAATTGTTGTTGCTTCATCAACGGGTGGCAAAACAGCTTTAATCCAAAACCTTATCCTAAATGTTTATAGGGACTGCTTCGCTCGTATATTCATTTTTAGCCCGTCTGTTCATAATGACCCTACCTTCGTTGAAGTCAAGAAATATCAAAAAGATAATATGAAGGTTGATGATGGAAAAGAAAAGTTATATTATGACACCTACCAACCTGAAGAACTGGAAGAAATAATTAACACGCAAAGAAAGATAATTCATTATATGAAAGAACAGAAGATGAAGAAACTACATTCAATTTTAATCATAGT